TACACAAAAAAAAAAAAAAAAAAAAAAAAAAAAAAAAAAAAAAAAAAAAAAAAAAAAAAAAACACAAAACAAAACAAAACCAACCCAAATCGGAACAGTGGGATTTTTCTTCTCTACTCTGCCGGCGGTCTCTTCTTCTTGCCTCCATCCTGAGCGGCCCTTGCCGGTGCTGCCTCCGTGTTTTCCACGCTGCCCAGCGATTTATGAATAGTTGAATGTGCCTATGCACTAATTGAGAAGCTTAAAGATCTTAGACTAATGTACTCGTCACTTTAATACTATGTCATTTTACTAATCGAGATTAGTATTAATTAAGAAGGATTAATTAGAAACTAATCTTGATTAATTAATACTAAGATTGATTAATTAAGATAATTAGATAATTAGTAAAATACTTGAGTTAACCTTGATTAAACTAAGTCATGTTTATAAATTGAGATTTGGTAATGCAAACACCACCTTTCCTTTGCCCCACCACACCAAATAAAACCTTAGCCAAGACCAAACAAAGGGAGGAAGAATCAACAAAGTGGTAGAACTCATGAGAGGGAAGGAGAAGAAAAGAGAAAGCGAGAAAAAGGAGGAAAAAGGGAGAACTATACACAAACCCAAACCTATGCTTAAATATATGATATAGAATAGAATATTTTCAAATATGCAAAGGTCAAAGAAGGTCAGATCAAGGAGGCTATCTAACATAAGCCTAATCAAAATAGAAAACTAAAACCCTAAAAATATTAGGAACATAATCAAAATAATCTAACTAATAATTATTTCAATCTCCTAACTAAAATATAAGTAATAATAATCTACCAATTACATTTATTGGACAAAAAAGTATTTGGTTCATGCAATGAACCCACATGCTTCACCCTAGGCTTCCAAAGCAAATAATGCACCTCCAACCGGTTAAGGATTGTGCCATCATCTAGTCACACAGGTGACTGCTATACATTAAAACCAAAAACATGCCGTGTAAACATTACTTGAAGACTCGTTTAGTGATAAAATGAAGCTATTGTCCACTATTTATATCACACACAAATGAGTGTGTTGATTATGTTCTGAGTCAGATTCTAGTGTTCTGCTACAATGTGCTTACCTTTGAAGCAGTTTGCAATAACATAAAGAACTTCCTAAACAAGTAATAGTAGATGGAAAAAGTGCACAAATATGAACAGAGAGACTTCCACTTATTGAAAGCTCAAAACATTTAAGTCACATAGTTCATCGGTATACCTTCATAAATTTGGATCCTCCAAAAAACTCTTCTTGTTTAAGACGCGACGTCCTTACATAACGGGAGACATATGTTGCTTTTCCGTCCTTGATGCGCAAACCATGAATCATGCTGCAGAATTAAAGAAACCATTCAAATTGTTGAATGCCTCTAAAAGCAGCAGATATAATGTGTTCAGGCATGGAAAGCACCTCAGAGAGGGAAGAAAAACATAAAACAGAGGTTGATTGTTACTACTCAGAGAACTGAGTGATTAAGTAAGCAATACAAGGGACCTAACTCTGTCCAAATAGCTTAACATCATAGAAGTTAAGGACTTTATGCTGGACATGCAAGAAGATACTTACATATTTGTATCAGCAATTAACCATTTGTAGAAATAAAGGTAGATACATTGAAGTCATAAGATATTGTATAGAACAAGAAGATTATCAAGGGTAGTAGAAAAAAAGATATCAGAGTATACAAGCCAAATCTTCAAGTCCTGCCAGATATTTGCAACCAATCAAGTAACTGAAGCTTTACTATTGATCACTACAATTATGTCATGCAAAAACCAAATTTGCAGTTGCAATGCAGGTAGAGATATATAGGAGTTTAGATAACATCAGCACAACAATATATTTAAACTTCAAGTACGACAAATTTGTTCATCATGCGTTACAACGTGACTTGGTAATAACCTTTTATGCAAGAATGCACTTTCAGTTACAATACCAATAGAGATAATTATAGGCCTCAGGATTTGCCACCCATATTTCAGACCTATCAAAGAAGGCCCAAGTCCAGCCCAGCAGATTAGGCCCAGCATGTTATTAGGAGTTGTTCAGATTTGGATTAGATAGTTATCCCTTGTTTTATCATGCTATTTCAGATTGGGTTGTTATCTACTTAATTGTTATGCTACAGTCCTAGTTGAGTCGAAGTGTTATTAAGATAAGGATTGGAGATGCTTGTAATCTTATCTTTATTTGATTGAGATCAATGAAATAAACAAGCAGAATTATCCTAAGAGAATTTGGGAGGTGATGACCCTCTCGAACGAGTCTCAGTGTGATAGGCCTAACCTATGAGATAAGAAATAATTTAATTAATGAAAGTAAAAGGTTGATTTAATTTTAAACAATTGGAAGCTTTAGCTATCAAATATTTTATTTGACTTGGCAGTTAAATCTTCACTTTTATCAGAACAAAGTCTGGCTAGTTAGTTAAAAGTACTGAGTACTTCCACATATTTATATCATATAATCCACCACAAAGAAACACTGAAGCCATCATTGAATTCCTTCTTCTGAAAGAACTTCAAATGAACCACATATACTTTTAAGTTGTGAGCTAAGGAACAGAAAAACACGCACCCATCTCCATCAAACCTGCAGAGTCAGAAACGGAAGGAATAAGCACAACTCTCAATAACATTAATTCTAACCCACTACCAAAAACAAACACATACATAGGTAAGTAGTAAATGATAATGAAAGGATGTGTATCTTCAAATGGGATAATGGAGCAAGATAAGTCGGAAAATTTTGTAGCTTCCTTCATAAAGCATGACAATTGAGTACATCAAAATAGAGCAACCAATTCTTGTTGAACCAAGTTTGATGAAAAGAAGTAAGGATCTACCAGTGATATCCAGCCACAGGAGTGAACTTTGGATTAGGACCAACCCTGACAAACTCACCATTCAGGCACTCCTGCAATGAGATTTTTTAAATATCACACCGTTTGCATTACAAGTTTTTTTTCTTAACTGCCAAATAATAAATAAATAAATATTACCAACAAGTGTGAAGAAGATTCAAGTTGTTTACATTTTAAAGAGGTAGCAACAAATGAACTCAAACAAATGAACTCGAACAAACATAAAATCTCAGCAATAACTTTTTCTAAGCATTCAAAGTCAGTTTAGTCATTTAATAATTAAAGAACGAAGGGGAGAAGAAGAATAAGAAGGGGGGGAATCAGTCCAAAGAAGGATTAGAAAGAGGAGACCAGAAAATAAGCATAAGAAGATGGATTAAGAAGGAGGAGAAGGAGGTAGCAATGTGAAGAGAACAGGAGAAGAATGCAGCGACATCACAGCCATGTGAAGAAGAAGATAGCAACATAGAGAAGAGAAGTAGAGAAGACAACAACGTAGTGTAGAGAAGAAGAGAAGAGAATGAGAGAGAAACGTAAGAAGAAGGCAAAAATGTGAAGAAGAATTCTTGGAGCTGCTGGACTAGATAACAACGCCAGGCAGCAGCAAAGTGTTCTTTGGAGATTAGGAATGAGGCTAATTTTTCTTCTATCGTTGATTTGGGGCTAAATGCCCAATGTATTGGCATGTGTACTTAACAGTGGGGATCTTCTATAGCTATACCATATTAAATCAATGGTCAAATTTCAAACGAAACCAATCAAAGCAACAATAAAAATAAAAATAAAAAAGGCCCTCAAGACGCAAGCCTTGGGCCTTACTGTGCCTTGGCCCAATCACATGCCTTGAGCGCGACTTATCGAAGTCGCCTGTCCTAGAACACTACAAGGCACAAACCTTGGGCCTAGGCGCACACTTAGGCACACCTTTAATAACACTGGTTTACCACTAGATTTTCAATGACACAACTAATCCTTGTACTACTAGCAGCCTCTTTGATTAAGGATATACTCTGGTTGGATTGCCCAATGGATATTGTTGAACTGGTGAACAACATAAAGTGTTTGTTATGATTGTCTTAGAGCCTGGAGCCAATCAATAACTCTCATTGGAGTGTTAAACTCCCAGCACAAGATTTGCATGGCTACCTCGTCTAGCAAAATATATTTTGGCAATAGTGTCTGAAGAAAAGTAATGTTTTAACACATAACTAAAGCCAAATAAAGAGACATCGTATGTTATGCCAGATCGAGCACCACAATGATCTACTGGACAGAAGCCATAAAAGCTTTTTGGATTATTTTCCTTGAAAGAAAAGGCACTTGAAAATTTATTTCCTCCTTTGTTAACTTATGCAAAGTAGAAACACCACATTAGACAGTGATTTGTCCAAAAACCCTAATTAAAACATGAAATCACGTAATTTGGCAAGGATATAAACTAAATCCTCAGAGATTACATATAAGATATAAACTGAATCCTCAGATGTTACATGGATGGACGAGAATCAAAAAAATGTTATCAAATCCCAGAAAAGTAGAATCTTGATGGCCATCAATATTACTTTGGGATCTTTTGCTAAAAGTTCCTCAAATGGATTACATCTTGTGAAAAGTCCAAGTCAAAAAAATTTAATGTCTAAGATCCTTCATCTAATGTTTTTATTGTGGAAAGGACAAATTGAAAATCTTTTGTACATTTTTGCCCACAACTCATTATTCACAGCCATTGTTGAGCTCTCTCTCCACCGTCTCCCCCGTCTCCACCCTCGTCGTCGCTCACCATGGAACTCTCCCTCCATCTCTACCACCGTTGTTGCCGTTCATTGCCTCTATGCTTCGTCACTGACGCCACCATGTTAGATCTACCACCGGCAACCACCATATTCATTGTTTGCCTTCACCATCTTAACCTTTTGCCATCACCATCTTAGATCGGAGACTGACAACCTTGGATCTAAGATCAGTCACCTCAAATCTATGCTCTGGTTTTTGAACAATAAAATTTTACTCTTGTTCGAACAAATTTGAGATTGGAAATCTTAGATCTGATAATTTAATAAATTTTTCTGGTAATAGTAACTGTAAATCTTTTGCTAACGATAATTGTTGTAGCAAGTGTGGTGTTTAGTGATGATGAAACATTTTAATATTTAAATGCTAAAATTTAGTACGCAAAATTTTATTGCTAATATTAGTAAATTTTTACCCTATTAAGGTTTGTTTGGACAGTAAAATTTTACTCTAATTTTTTTTTGAATTTCATATCCAACATCGATCTTATTTGATAGGTCTCAATGAAAAGATTCTAAAAATATCAATTTTATTAAAATTAGACATTTATATAAAGAATTATGAAATTTTAAAGTTTCAAAATAATTTTGAATCAAAATGTAAATTACACCTGTAGCTTGGAATCATAATACACATATAAGGGTATTTAAGTCATCTAACTTCCATTCGTTTAACAAAAGGGTGGTTCTATTTACACACCACTAATACTTTCAGTACAGACCGTGAGTAGATTAAATTTATATTCCAATAATATCCTCCAATGAAATAACTATTAAGGATAACATGAGGTGTATTCAACCCATTTAAAAATTTTATATTTAAAAACACAAAATACTTTTCACACACCATCATTTCTATAGGGTTTAGGGTTTTAACATATAAAGACTGTATTTCTTCATCATCTTCACCATTAACATACACTTATGATATCATTCATTATCAATTAGTTCACTTCATTCTTTTCTCCATTATACTTATTTTTCAAACTCAAAACATTATTGCCTTTGAAGAATTAGGGTTCAAGAACATTGAAATCAATTAGTTTTGAAGATTTGCACATCATAGATGACACTGAGATAGTTGGTTCTGATATAAACATTGAAAGCATTGATTTGAACATTGAAAATGTTAGTTTATGACTAAGATTTTCGATTTTTTATTTATCTTGTTCGTATGTTAGGAAAATGAGTTTATTCATCGTGTTCAGATAACCAGAGTTGAACTTTTACACAATATTCGATTATTCATATTTGAACAAAACAATTTTGTTCAAATTATTAAGATTAACCAAATATTAAATGTTCATACATAAAAAATTAAATATTTTAAGTTAGTTCAGTTAAAATAAATTAAACTTTTATTCATTGTTCAGATATAAATTTTTGAATGTTCAACTCTGTATTTATGAACATGACTGATTTGATGAATTTGAAACGACAACGAGAGATGAGAAACGAGAATTCAAGACCAACAATGAAGATCAATACCGGCGAAGGTGGAGTCCGAATGAAACACTCCGCCAATGATCTATGATGAGACGACGAGACGAGACACAACAAGAGTTCAACACCAACTACGGAGATCAACACCGGCAAAGATGGAGGCCAAATGAAACCTCCGCCGGCGATGGAGATCAAGACCAATGAAGATGGTCTCTGTTGGTATCTGTTCTGAAGATTGTGGGGTTTTTGTTGTGTGTAGTGGTGAAGATGAAGAGTTTTAGTGTGTAATGGTGTGTATTCACATAGTTAGTGTTGTGTTAATATAGGGTTAGTAATGGAAAGTTAAGGTGTAAACTAAGATATTTTTAAACCCTAAAAATTATTTTGTGTATGTACTAAGTAATGGTGTGTACTGAGAGTATTAATGCTGTGTAAATAGAATCACTCTTAACAAAAGGATGAGAGGCTCTAAATGCATCCCAAGAATTAGGTTGGACACCTCATTACTTTAAGCACCCCAATAACAAATTTGAAATTTTATTTATTTGTTTCGACACCCTAAATAATACCTATCCTAACTCTAAAACCCCTAAAACCTTATACAAATCTACCTTGTACACCCCATTACCCATAAATAGAGAAACAAAATCATAAAAGAATTTCAAGCAACGAAGAGGTTCATCTGAAACAAAGAGGGATTCCAAGCGACAAAGGTCTCCTCCCACTCTACATCCACCAGCGACTACCGATTTCCAGATACTCAATGCTGAACACAAGAAATTCGGTTCTAATTGTTTCATATGAATACTCAGTGCCGAACAAAATATGTTTGTCCAAATACTTAATTCCAAACATATGAAGTTTGTTCTGATACTCAATGTCAAAAACAAGAAAATTGGTTCTACTTGTTTCATATAGATACTCAGTGCCGAGCAAGTATATTTGTCCAGATACTTAATTCCAAACATATGGAGTTTGTTCGGATACTCAGTTCCGAATGAATTCGGAAAACCAAACTACGAAAAACAATGAACAATTAAAAACTACTTTCTCTATAGAAAATCGTTTGGAAACATCTTCTTTATTGTCCATTGTTAATTTCAATATGAAATAGAATGCAAGAATGATGAATTAAAGCAAATAGGGTTGGGGTTAGGGTTAGGGTTAGGTATGAAAATGCAAAGTGATGAAAGATGGAAGAGAAGAAAGAAAAGGAATATTGAGACTGATGATTAATAGGGTGTCCAAAACACTTTTATTTACACTTTTTCTAATGTCAAGTCTTTTTTAGTCATTTTAAATAGGGACTTAATAGTAATAAAAAATAAAATTAAATGGAGGAGTCCAACCTAATTTTTGGAGTGCAAATAGAAGCTCCCCAAAAGGACCTCCTGCATGAAAAGATTTTTCCCCTAATTGAAAAGCCAACCCACACTTCCCCTTAAAACCCGAGTATTAAGGAGAAAAAAACTTAAGCCTTATAACCAGCTCAGATGGGGCAACTCCAGGCGATGTGGGACACATTCCAACATTGTCCTTTTCGCAATAACTTTTTGTGAAGAGGGGGCTATGGCCAAATGTGGCACCCGAAAGCATGCCACGTGTTATAACATATCATTATCTATATTGGAATACCTTAGGCCAAAATAATTATTCCATTGACTACCTCATTCCACAAAATACCCGATTTAATTAGCTTACAACGTTCTGGAGATCAAAAATACAAAGAAATGAGATGGTAGCCTTAAGAGATCGAAACAATTAATAAGAAACTTGAAAGTGTAAAACATGTCTTAATAAAAGAAACTTATGAATAGAATGTTGGAAAATTATTAAGAGTTAAGGGATGTCTGAAGTTTAGGATTTATGAATAGTAGAATGTGCCTAT